AAGGCTTTCGTGTGAGAATGCCAGTGAGGTGTATTATTTATCTGAATTCCATGTCCTGGAGTGAGGCGCTGGATCTGATTAAATTACATGTGGACTCCAGGCCTGTGGAAATCCATGAAAAGGTTCCACCTGTATCTGATGGGAATGACTTACTATTCACTTTCTCATATATTGTCGTCAGCTCCAGTTCAGAGCTTGCCATCAGGTCGCCCCCCCCCACCCCCCCGTGCTGCTTTACAAGTCGCCGGTGCCCTCCTCCCCTCTCCCAGTCTGACCGGGCCTGCGATTGCCATCAAACGGCTGTGCGATTGGAGCACTGCATGTGTGTGGTTCTTACAAAAGGACCCGTCCCAAAGGCAGCTGTATAAACTGTACTTCACTAACTTAATGGGCAAAGGAGACGTTTACCTGAGAACCAGAGCCAACTGAAGGAGTTCCTTAGGGGGATTCCCACAGCACAGCACAGCACATGTCTAGAAAAACAAGGATGATTGTTAGGGTCTTCTGAACTGCAAAACATATGCTTCGCTCACTGCTCTTTTTCAAGACAGGGTGCTAGTCTTGGTACTTTTATGGTCCTGGCAAAAATGTAATTCCTTAAATTTTCCTTGTTTGGTGTAGAGGTCTGCACAAGGCTGGTTCACTTGCAGGTCCTGCATGATCGGTGAAATAATTTGCCAGAGGGGGTTCCTTTATATTCATTTTCACAGCAAGTAAACAGCTAACACATTTATCTACTCATGCAGGTAGATGTTATGGCTTGTTGGGTTGGGTGTGTGTGGACTGTTATTGGCTGTTTGTGGAAGTGCAGGCAACAATCAAGCAGCAAGTGTGCCACAGAGGAAAAACATGCTAGTAATTGTCACATGCAGCATACACAAAATGAAGCTGTATAATCTGTATTATATAACATTTAATGCTTTTTTCCAAGAAAATTGTTTTTGCTTTTCAACCCTCCTCAGCTATCAGTTTTGGCTTTAATTTAATTTTGGCTGACTTGTAGATGCTTTGTAGCGCAATTAGCTAATAATATAACGATACAGATAAAAGCTGTTGGCTGCTTATGAGTCCACGCGATGCTTATTGTGTGGCGCCACATGCAATTCTCACTGTTTTCTTTGGCGTAGACATGCACAAAATATTTACTTCTTTTTTTCAACATTCAAATGTTAATTTTTGTGGCTGGGTGTGTAGAGATATGATGGGTCTGGAGCCTGTTACTCTGTGTTGCGGGGGGTTGCGTGGGCATTCTCTGTGCCAGTGGTACGGATTACAAAGGCTAAACATGGTTGGGTACAGAGAAAGACTATAGGCCAACATTGGCAGGTGTGGCCAAGCATGAGGTATGGTTAAAGCAAGTGGGTGCAGGCATGAACAGCACTGGGTTTTGCAGGCGCAGGCGGACATGATATGTGGGTGAAGTGGGCGGGTGTAGGCATTAATGTTAAAACTCATGCAGACTTCTAGTTTGTTGCTTCTGTAGTTTTTTAAAAATGGACAGAAGTATGGGCAAGGTTCAGGCTTCAAGATGTCTACTACTGCTGTTTTAGCCATACAGCATATTTATATAGAGAACAGTGACAAAACGTCTGTGCATTTATATATCATACAGTGACAAAAAACACAATGACGTCAATTTGAGATGACTTAACTCTACGTGGTTTGAGGTAAGTGTGTGATGGATTCTTTTATGTTGCTGTTTAGTGACTGTGATATATTATTTGCTTGCAACATTAGCTTTGTAGCACCAGTATAAAACTAAAGAAGCAAACTTTGGGTGTGAAACACATCTTGGCTGATTAACTACATTTAGCATAAAGGAAAAACTGTAAAGTAGACTTTTGGCTGGGCTATCACTTTGTTTTTGTGGCTATTGGAATGTCAGCACCCTGTTGTTTGCATTACTTCAGCACAAGCAATTTATTTTGAATTTCATTACAAGGTTGATGGTCCTTTCCAAATAGGAAAATGTTCATTCTGGTGCTTAGATAAGTTAGTTGATAGACAGATAGGTAATAGATAGATAGGTAGTTACATAGATAGGCAGATAGATACACAGATGAACAGACAGATAGATTTCTATTGGTTAACATGGGCAAAGTTAGGATTTGGGTATTAAACTTTGTTTTTTGCATGCAAGCGGGGTCGCATGGAAGATTCTCTCGTTTACATAGAGTTAGCAAAGCTGCCGGCCAGCCTCAGCTCCACAGCTCTTTCTTGAGTGGCTCGGCCCTCAGTCTGCCACTCTGAAAGGCTCCCATGCTCTTTATTTGTTGAGGAGCCAGAGGTGTCAGAAATATAGACACGCTTTCACGTGACGAAGACTTTGCCAGCTTTTCCTCCCCCGCTCTTAAGCCTGGCATTTTGTCTGCATACCAGGGATTGTAGGGCCCTGTGAATAGTGTCAAACTTCATAGTTCTCATTTTGCTTCCTGTACATGGAAGGAGAAACGTGCAGCGTTTCCCTTTGTGGTTCCTTTTTGCCCTTCGTTTTTTTTTCCCCTTCTCTTCCCAAGAACCATATTTAAGCCACCGTCACCCGCTTTGTGTATGGCCCATTGTGCTCTCGCCTGTTGTGCAGATCACCCTCCTAGTTTTTGTTGCCTTAATGTATGCAGGCATAAAAGTCTAGACTACCTTTTTTCATTGCAGGAACAATGAAGATTTTTTTTCTATTTTAGCTCATTTGGACCCTTTCAAATTCATTTTCATATTTGACTGAACACAAACTTGAGGTTTTTACATCAAGTGCGCTTACAACCAGAGTGAGTCGCGTTGTGCAGTGTGCTGCTGTTCTTGGCAGCAGCGGTTTATGTAACTTACGAATGCTTACCATAGTCTGGTTTGTTAATCCCATAGAGATAATGTTTAATCCCTGCGTTTGTGTCTGCAAGAGTGATTGTCATTTGCACCTCACTCAGCAATATTGGGTATGGCATGCCAGCCCCTCATTGTCTAGGGTCAAAGTCATCATTTTTGAGAAGCAAAGATTCAGCAAATGAACTGCCTAAAAAACAAGGATTTTCTGCAGGAAATGAAGGCTTTGTGGGATGAAGTCAGAACATATTGGCTGTTGTCATTAGAGTGCACTCTAGTTGATCTTTTTAAACATTAATATCTTTGTTTACTATCATTGCCCACAACTGAAATAAGCTTACTGAAAACATCCATTTAGTGTCTCCCTGTTAATTTACCATCATACTGACACAGGAGTTTTATCCCCTGTTTAAAATATGCCAGATAAACAAAACTTTGAATTTGCTTCTGTGATGCAAATTAAGCTGTTACCTTTTCTTAATTACCTTTTGCTGTGAATTAAACCTGGTTATCTTTTCACATATATTTCCCTTAGAAAGACAGACTCGTTCATGATCTTGCCCCCTATTGCACGAATTAGGCCATAGGGTACTGTATAGTCTCTCTGGTTGACTATTATTCAGTCTGCCCAAATGTTATGCGAACACTCTCTACACACCAATTTGTTAGGGTGTCTTTGTTCAGGGTTCATGCTAAAGAGCCCCTTTTACAAAGAATCAACTGGCAGATGACAGACAATGATAAAAATTTGATTCTTTGAAGTTGTAATGGCCATTGAAATGTGTGAAGAAGAATTGAAAGGAGCGCTGCTTGTGAGGCTCAGAACCTTGGGTGGTTACCGGCTGCGTGCTGGGAGGTTTGTGTGTGTGTGTCGTCGCCGACTTCCCAATGCTCGTCAGCTAATTCCCTGAAGAATTGGGCCAGGCTTTCACACAATCTTTCAGCAGAGGCCTGTTGCTCAGGACCATGGTCAGTTAACACCTGCTTTTTGAACAGATCTTAGTTTTCACACTACTTGTTGCTGGTTGACATTTTCACAGTGCGACTTGATTAAAATCGATAACTTGATTTAAAAAAAAAATATAAACAATTCAAATTTACTTGATGTATCTTAATGAATCAGCAGTGATTAGTTGTCAGTTACTGTCCTGTATATATTAGATATTGTATCTGTTGGAGAGTAAGATAAAGTTGTATGCAAAAGTTTGAACACCCCTGGTCAAATTGCATGTTTTGTTGATAAGTTAACACGTCCTCTATAGTGAACAACCTGAAATATGGCATTTGTCTGCAAAAAAATGATGGCATTTTGTGCACAATTGCTATTTATTTGCTGAGTTTAACATATTGGAGAAAAATGAAACATACAATGTACCATAAGTTTTTGGCACAGCCCACTTTTTTTGTTAAATTCAGCACTGAATAATCAAAGTTGGTCAAATAAAAAAGAAAAGAATGAATATTATTTTATATATATATATATATATTAAAAAAGGTATGTAAATTAGATCCTGCGGTATACCAGTCCTTTAAACAATAAAACTGGGATGTCACCAGCCCTAATAACAATGATGGTTGATAAACAAATGATTGTTTACTCTGTATTGATACTTAAAAATACAGAAAGGCACAAAACAGTACTGGTAATTTGCATATTAAAATGTGTAATCTTGTATTAAACAGCCTGCTTGGTTTCAGAATCAATTAGCCTGCCTTTAATAGATTTTTTTCCTCGCTTCATTCTTCACCTAATGTAGGAATTGGAAGTGTTTTCCTTCTGCCTTCACACCTGAAAGCGCAGGTTTCTGGCCTGTGACTGAAGCCCTGTGGTGAAAAAAGAAAGATCACAATGGACTGTCTCAAAGCATTTCGCGTGTGTGAGAAATTAGCTTGTCTAGACAGAGTGCGCGTCTACATTCAAAAGGAAATATTTGGGCTTTTATGCCCCTTAGGTGTAAGTGCGTGAGGGCTGCCAAGCTCTTTAATGCTGCTGCTTTTTCCCCCCTTCTTGGATGCTTACCACTAGCTCAAATTTGCATTTTACAAAGCATAGACTTTTTAGACTCTTTTCCCAAATATTTTTCGTCAGCCAGAAAGTACCTGAACAAATTATTACTATGTTAAAATAAAGTTAATCGCCATGCTTTGGAGATCTACAGTAGTTCTCTTCTTTGTTCCTGCAGGACATCACAACATTAACTGGTGTTCCTGAGGAGCACATCAAGACTCGTAAAGTGCGCATTTTCGTGCCCACCCGTACGGCCATGCAGTCAGGGGTCCAGAACACCAAGAAGTGGAAGATGGATTTCGACACCCGGGAGCGCTGGGAGAACCCTCTGATGGGCTGGGCCTCCACGTAAGTTTACTAAATGAACTGAATGAGCGCTATCATTCAAGGATTGAAGTGAAGACACATACGCTGTCTAGGCGTCTAACGAGACACAAATTTATTTATTTATTGGTAGTTCCCAATTTTTTAAAATAAATAAATGAAATAAAAAATAAAAGATGAAAAAAAAAAATCTGCGTTGCATGTTGCACATGTGTGTTATGGTTTGTAAAAATAAAAGTACACAAAAAGAAATTACAGACTATAAAGCTACCTCTCAAAATTAAACAAACTGACCTTTCAAAGTGTGTGTACGATCAGATCTTGTGTTTGTATAGGCAGTGTAGCTCCTACCTATTGGCTGAAATGAGCAAGAGAGGTTTTTTCTAATGTGGCTAAATCACTCCCAGCAAACTGGGATCCAGCAGTCTTTAGAGCCGAGTAGAGGGTTAAATCAGAAGCTATAAATATCTATACGGAGTGAGTTATTTGTTTCGCTCATTCGGCAATAGTAGTAAGTAGGAAAAGTAGCTGCTGAGTCTTTTCTCTTTTCTCTATTTGGCAGTTTCTTTTAAAATGTTTCATTCGACCTTATTTGGAAAATGCAACTGCCGCTCCATTTAAGGTGGGACGGAAAATCTAAAAAGAAGCTTGCGGGTACAAAGCTCTGGTAACTGACACATTTCGGTGATGTCTTCACAAATGAGTTAGCATTGTCGAAGTATTAGCATGGGTATTTGATCCTTGTGTTGAGCAGTGTCGGCACACTGTCACCGCGTGATCTACCACTCCAGAGTGTTCCCAAACAGGAGATGAGTGCAAGGATGATTTTGCTTGTTTTAGTTCAAGCTTACTTCATGTGGTCAGCATTTCAAACAGCTTGGCTAGTCAGCTATCCAAGGTAGGCTGTTTTTTCCAGTTTTGAGAGCTGATAAACCACATTTGTGGTATCACTTTTAGTAAGATCATGGATTGTGTTTAAATAGAACTATAGAAACCATTGCTGGTTTTAGGCAGTTTATAGTGTTTTTTTATTGTTTGATTTAAAAATATTTTTAGACCATTTTATACCATTAAACTTCAGCTGTCCATTACATTAAACTTTTCATGACCATTGGAATTACTTGTTGGTCTTAATCTTGCTTTAACATTTTAATAATGTTAAAGTAAATTAAAATGTAAGACAAAAAATGGAAAGCTGCTGTGGGAGGCAGTTTACTGAGGTTAAATCAAATTCATGCTTCGAAGTGCAGTCAGAACAAGAAAAGACATCAAAGAAAAGCAAACTCCTTTTGACAGCAGCTTCGCCCTTTTTTGTATTTTTATGGCATTGGTGTCTAGTAATTTGGTGTGTGGGTTCCTTTGGCTGTAGATCATCATTTCACCCACTGACAGTTTCAGCGCATTAATGTTTCATCCTTTCATCCTAACCTTATCTTGATGTATGTCTTCTACAGAGCCGACCCACTGTCCAACATGGTCCTTACCTTCAGCACCAAGGAGGACGCCATTGCGTTTGCTGAGAAGAATGGTAAGCTGTTTAAACATCAGTCTTTTCTAAATCATGACAGTGTTTCCGTGTAACGCTGCACTGTCAGATTCTAGCTGGAAAATGGGTTTCCCAAGGGAAAGATCACTGAAAGAATAGACATGTTTGTTACTTAAAGATTTGCTTTTGTTTTCACCCCAATTGTTCGTGTCTTGTGTTTACTTTCCACATCAACACCAACTGGCCGCTCCCAAATTGATTCCCTAGAATATACTTCCCTAGAAGATACTCGTTCATCGTCTTGTTTGTTTTTGCAGGTTGGAATTACGATATAACAGAGAAAAGGACGCCGAAGCCGAGATTTAAGTCATATGGAGCAAACTTTTCCTGGGACAAAAGAACTAGAAGATCTGCCAAGTAGACGATCAGTCACTGATAACTGTTGCTGTTATCTGTAACAGTCTTGTATAAGTTTTCTGTATCTATATCTAATAAAGACTCCTGGAGTCAATTACACATGTGCCTTTTTGTTTTTTCCTATTAAAAGTAGAAAGAAGTGGTTCAGTCAATAATGCTAATGTTGCAACCAGTTCATAAAAATAGCCACCATTTAGCATTGGGATAGTAGTCAGGGTGGACTATTTAATGGTGTACTTCTAGTGACTACATGTACTTAATTAAGTACATGTCTTAAAGGGAAGTGTTATTAATAATAGTTATGGACAAAGGCTGTATTTGATCTTACTGCTGAAGTTTCAGAACTGCTTGTTCTTCAGAAAATCTGCAGTAACATGATATTTTCATTTTCTTGGAAAGTGATTATTTTTTGCCAGATATGGTTTTGTTTTTCTGCTTCTTCAAGAGCGCTTAAAGCTTCTGAAATAGGAGAACATTGTAAGTGTCCAGCTTTGAAAGACTGAGAGCAGGTAGGTATGTTTTATCTCATGGTACTCTAGGGTATGACATGAGATGAGGAAACCACCTGTTGGAAAAAGCTTTGTCTTCTCATATTTACATAACTGCTGTAACATATTGCACAAATCTGCAATTCATGTGTTTTTTTTTAACACTAAATTGCACTCAGGTGCCTTTTTTTTATTACTAAAAGCTTTTTAAACTTTGAATCACAGATGCAAACAGAATCCGTGCCATTGAGGAGTTAAAAACAAATGCCCTCATTTTTCCTGTGGAATTTCACTTGTTTCGGTCACAATACTCTGGCCTATTGAATCTTTATGTAAGTTTATAAACTTTTTAAGTATATAAAGTCCTCAGATACATTTAGAATAATTTTTTTTTATATATCTGTGGACTAACTTGGAAAACTGATAAAGCTAGTTTGCATAATGCTCATAATGCTGAATGAAATATTTAACTAGATGACCTACCGTAAGATCAGTGCTGGAGTGGCACTGAAAGTACTGCACTGTAATGTAAGACATTTAAAGCTTTAAGAAAATGAATAAAAGTTTGTACAAAATTCAGGATCGCTTTATGCTTCTGTTATTTGTTAGCTACATTAGCTTTGTAGCTCTAGTCCAAAACTACAGAAAAAACTTAAGACACCAAATGTGTTATCGGATCAATTGTGCTTAGTTTGATTTGATTGTTCAGTGGCTTACCACTTCAAAGCCAGCATCCTCTTTGGATAATGTTGGAAAGCCAACAGCATCTAAAATGAAGAGCCCAAGTCATAAAACAAGACAGAATGACAGTAGATTTATTTATTTTTTTATTTATTGTTTCACTCTTCATATCTGTACAAATACCATCAAACTTTGTATATACATATGACATTTACATTAAAAAAATACAAAACTATATATTTTTAACTGAATCTTGTATTCATTTTGTGATGTCTGAAAATAAAAATGCATTTTGAAAACAATGCAAGCAAAGAAAAGTGATAACGTTCGATATACTGATACTTGATCCTGTATCACGTGAGCTTGGAGAAAGCAGTATGGAGCAGAACGTTGGCAAAAACAATAGCACATGTTAATGGCACATTTTTGACAATCAAGTTTCACCCAAAATTGATTTCTGCTCTATAGCTGGATGCATGAAACTGCTAATGAACAACGGCAAACTGAACATCTCACGAAAACAAATACAAAAAAAGTTTCTGTCTTGAAAAATGGCTCATGTTCAAATATTACCATGCTGCGTTGTGCAGCAAAACGTTGAAGAACCATTGAGAAAATCCCTTTGGTCAGTTATAGTGAAGAGTAAACAAAACCAGAAACAGGTTATGTACATTAAAGAGTGACATATTTTTCCCCCAATAAATAAACACACAGGCAAACATGCAGTTAAGTGTGAAATAAACATCTGTGATATAGAATGGACAGTGATAAGCAGATTTTTACAGCTCAGGGAATGCAATTTACAGCTTGCAGAAGACTTACACTTTACATGGTAGCTTTTTTTTTTCAACCTCACAATAAATAACACTGCTTCTCTTTGGACAAATATACTTCTTCATAATAGAGAAAAAGACAACAAAACAAGTGAACACAAAATAACATGATAGAGATAGTAAGTCAGACATTGTAAATGTATAAATTATAAAACAAAACAAAAAAACACTGTATAAATAAACATCTATCAGACTGAACTATATGTATACTTCCTTTTTTTTTCTTTGAAAAATAAATTAGCATACACATTTGTACAGTGTGGACATGTTTCCTTTCCCACAGGACTGTTTCCACTGATTTGATGGCAGTTTATCCGTCCAGTATTGGCGATAAATGGATATAAGCCATGTAGTCCTGGTCATCATCATCATCATCGTCCTCCTCCTGGTCTTCCGTAATGGCTATATGGGAGAATACATGGTAGCTGTTGTATGAATAAAGACCACAACAGCGCAGAATCTAAGTGAATGTTTGTCTTTTTTTTTTCCTCAGCCTTCTGTGAATGCCACAATCTAGCTTTGTCTTTTAGGCAGATTTGGCAGCGGCAATGCACTCTGCCCCTCCCGCTCCCCTCACCAACCCAGCCCACCCCAATTATGCAACAAGCTTTACATAATGAAGAAAGTCAGTACTGTGACAATAGAGGGTGATCGGAGAGTTCAATGGCTCAGGTCTAATTTCGCAGATTCCTGAAAAAGGAAAAAAAAAGTGCTCGTGTGTTATAGGATTGGCTCTTTTTTTCTGGTTTCCATCTAAAACTCTGAACAACAGTTGCTGCTGCTTGACTAGGATGGCATCCTGTGCCCTAAGATGACTTTAGCAAACTGGTCATAGTAGTGGCACAGCTTTGAGGTATATTCTTCTACAGAAATGTTTACATTGGGAACTAATAAAAGAAAAGAAAATGAGAAAAAAAATACACAAAGCAACAGAACGAAATAGGCAGTCCCTCATAATCCATATGAACACTTAGAAGAAAACACATTCACAGCAAACCTGCGAAACACAAATTCTTATCCTTGTTAGACTTTTACTAGCCTAGTAGAAATGAGAAAAGCATTGCTCTACAAACTACAAAGTCCTTCTGCTTGTCCTGCAAACTGTAAAATGCTCGATTATTTCCATGAGGTGATCATAAAGTTGGTCCCTTGGAGTTACTGTTGTACATTATTATTAGAGGTCCAAGCACCTAGGGAATATTTCACAAAGAGGGATTTCTGAGTTTTCTGAGCCAGATAAATTAAGCCCTAAATTGAGGTTCATCCAACAGGAATGTCTCTCAGCTCTTTTCCTATTAGAAAGGCTTGACTAGGCTTAGTTTATCTGGCGAAACTGTGAATACCCCCCCAGTTCTGGACTGGAAATTTGTTAGCCAGACTTTCTTGCTAGACTCACCATAAACTGGAATGTTGCTAAACTATTAGTGGACCAGAGAGTATTTGATGACATGGAGCCATCTTTGTCTAAATAGGTAGTCTATAGCGTAACATAACTTAAATTTAAACACTGGCACCAATGTTACAATCACCTTATGCTTATTTAGAACATGGATGCTGCTGTTTTCCTGACTCTCATACAGATTGGCAGGGCTGTTTATGTCATGGAGACGTAGTGCATTTTGAAATGATTGATTACAGCCAGAAGCAAACAAAACATTAAAACAAACAATACAAAATTAAAAAACAAAATTACATGATTATCATGAAATTAGCAACGTGACCATGGAATTCACAAGCTATAGTGATATGGTATGTTGTAAGTCTCTGGAATAAAAACTACAACAATTTTAAAAAAATCATAATAAAAAAAGGTTAAGGCAGCCTGTTGGGTAACATGACAACTCAGTAGAATGAGGATAAAAATGTTACATGTTCTAGCTGCAAAAGTTAGTCTGCTCATATATTCTTGTTAGTTATATGCAGTAAATTAGTATTTCAAATGACTCCCAAAAATGAGCCAAAAATGTAATACAAATCCTTTTTACTGTGTTTACATGGTGTATATCTATTCACGAAGCTGATTATTCCTGACTATGTATTTATTTTTGCAAAACAAAATTGCAGAATGCAGCATTGCATGAAGTCAGCCCAAGAGGACATGCAAAACAACTTCCCATCTTGAGTCCTTTTCTGTAGCTTAGATCTGACCAATGGGAGGGTTTTTGCAAAGCGTTTGTGAAGATAGAGCAAGGAGGGAGGGATGCAGGGGTTGTGTATTGGTGGTGGTGAGGCTGGGAGTGTACCATTGGATTGTCTTTAATTGGGTGTTACTTACAGTTGCAAGATCCTGAATGCTTAACCTCCAGAAGAACCCCCAAAGAGCATGCGGCCTGCTTCATGGCGCACACACTGGGGTACGAGGTGTTGTCGCTGGCACACACTGCCTCCTCCGAGCGGCTCTCGGGACAGGTCTCTTCGCACAGGGCACAGCGGCCTCGGCCCATCCGCGCGTCCCACAGACACTTCTTCCCTGCGCTGCACTGGATATCATCACATGATTTGGCTTCTGCAAGTAAATGAAAAGCTACCTTGAATTTTTGACATTTTTACATTGTTGTGGTAAACCCACATTATAGCTCCCCACACAGTTTCATAATAGTCACTGAATAATAAGTCTTAAGGTTAATAGCTAAATAATAAGCCTAGGATTTGAGGGGTTAACAGCACTTGGGAGGTAGAAGTTGCACAAAAGGGGTTGGAAGGCAAGTTACACTCAGTTTGTAATAAGAGACAGGCCGGTGTTGCCAACATCAGGAAGCAATTAGACACCCACGACTTTGCTTTGCAAATAATAATTGCAAACACGATTGTCATGAGAGTATGAAAGGTCAGAATTTGTTTGGAATGTTGGCATGGTTGCATATGCACATAAACTGCAAGTTGGAAAATAAGTCACTGAAGCCCACCTCCCACTCCCCCCCCACCACCACCACCACTTTGAAAGTCTGCATACAATAAGCTTCCTGAACTTCATCTACCCTCTAAACTTCATGCTCGACTGGGATCAACAAATGCAACATTGTTTTCCCATTTGCCACTCACTGATGCATTTTCCCTCATAGGCCACTCCGATGGATCTGCCCAATAAACATGTGGCTCTTCTTAGATGGCAGGCGCTGGCGTAGACGATGCCATCATTGCCACAGAGGTACTGGTCTGGTGACGTGACCTCGGGGCACACGCGGTTGCACGTCACACAGTAGGCGTTGTTGGTCTGGTCCACTACGCACGTCGAGCTGCCCGGGCAAAGCACATCACGGCATGTCTCTGCAAAAACCAAAGGCAAACACTTAGGGCTACTGTTTCACTATCATTTTTCCCCCCGCATGTTGTTTGCCAATAGCCAGTTGCTTGTTACACTGCTGACTGCCTTGACAGTAGTGTTCCCCAAGCGCAATCTCTCAGATTTCAGCATTACTCAGAATTAAAGACTTGTTAGTCAATTATTTTGTCTTTACTTGGAGTTTCACCAAATTTGGTTTGGAGTCTTATTAAGTTGAGACTTGGACAGCATTTATACCTTAGCTCCTAGTATGTATGTACTTTTAACTCTGCTAACTGTAGATGACTAAACAGAATGTGTAAAATCTTGAACTGCATTTTTAACTCCTTTAACTGCAGATGTATTATTCAAGTATTAATCTTAAGACATATTCAGTGATTACCTTCACTACTGTGTGTTTTTCAGGCTAATATATAAGTAGCTACATAGTTGATTGTGAGGAACTGAAAGGGACCCACTGGAGTTATTTAAAACATAACTTACTTTTGCATTTGCCATGGTATTGCACCTCTAGATCAGGGTGCCCTTTACACTTGGACTTCAGCAGGGCACATTCGTCCCTGTAGGTTTTTCCATCTGACCCACACACGGGCCCCTTCCAGGTGATGTTGGAGCAGTCGGGGGCGCAGACACAACGCGGCTTGCTCCTCCTGTTCATCTTGCATTTCTTTCCGGGGCCACAGTCCACGTTATCACATGTCTCTAAAAATCAACCACAGGCCAAGAGGCAAAAGGATGTTAGGCAACTTGGTATTAGAGTGGTGATTCGGTTCGGCAATTTGTGCTTAAATCTTAATGAAACATATTAACCCATACATCAATTGAAACCTGTTCCACAGTGTCACTGTTCTTAGTTGAGCCCATATTTATCAAACTATCATTGTATAAGAATGAAAAATGTATTATCACTGTTGGAACAAAACCTTGTATCTCCATTTTTTGGCCTAATGTGAAAATACCTACTGCTCTTTACAGTATGTGAAAATTGAATGACAAATAAACCAATAGATATGGTCCCAAATTACACGGAATAAAATCTCTTTACATTAACTTACATTAAAAGTAAAGAATGTTAGTCCTTTTCTGTAGCTTAGATCTGACAAATGGGAGGGTTTCTGTAAAGCGTTTGTGAAGAAAAAGCGAGGAGGAAGGGATGCAGGGGTTGTGTATTGGTGGTGGTGAGGCTGGGAGTGTAGCATTGGATTGTCTTTTTTTTTTTTTGCGTTATTTACTTACTTGCTTTGAAAGTACCAGCTGCTTTTTTACATTATGTGAACATATGATGCCAAATGAACCAACACAAATGGTCCAAAATTACCTAAGAGAATAAAATCCCTTTACATTAATTCACACTGAAAGTTAAGAATATTTCATTCCTCTCATGTAAAGTTAGCATTTTGGATCCAACAGAAACGTTATGCTCTTGACATAACACTGAATGGCGCTCAATATACTAGTATTAATAATTTAAGACACTTGATAAATACGGGCCAACTTGTGTGCAATGACTTCAATCCATATCCTACAATACATTCCAAAATTTCATGCTTTTTTGTCAGTAAACTCCAAATTGCTATTAATTAACACAAATGTGCCACACTTGCCCCCCAACAGCCAGACAATGCTATGTCTACCTTTACAAGGTATGCAGTTTGGAGCTCCCCCGTTGAAGATGGTCCACCTGAACAGGGTGCTGTTGGGCACATCTTCCTCAGTCCAAAATGTCCCGAGCCTTCCACTCCTGCAGCATTCTTCCCTGCTCATGCCGGGCATGTAGAGAACCTGGCATCTCCCGTTCTTCCCTTGCTGGAGCCAGCAGTTGCCAGCTGGGAAACCAAAAAGAGAGGGAAAAAAAGAGGAGGGGGGGAGGAGGAGGAAAAAAAGAAAAACAGAAAGCCAGTCGCATTAAAGTCTGAAGCCAATGACCCAGACACAACACGTGCAGGCTGTATTAGCTGGAAGCTGCCCCGCTCCCCCCTCCCCCTCTCTATTTTGTCTGATTTCTCAGTAATGCGACTGTTTCACACTTGCATGCCTGAACCCAGACAAACTCAACGGGGCTGCCCCTTTCGGTCTCTAGGACTTTTCCCGTCGCCCGTGTTCGTTTTTTCCTTTTTTTCCCCCCTCTTTTCTTTCGACCGAGCGATTTTTTTGGACGGAGCCAGTGCCAGACTGACAGCCTCGTACCTATTTAAACAATGTGCAGTCTAGACTCCACTTCCTCAGGCTCCCACTTGGACCAGACTGCTCAGGATAGACCATTAGCGCTACACCACGGCTTGGGTTTTTTTTTCGTTTTTTTGGACCAAAATCAATAAAAAATATACCGTTATTGCCGCTTTTAATGTAGCTCAGAATAATCAGCCCTCTTGCCTGTGAGGTCGAGCCAAAAGGAGAATTTCTATTCACTGTCATATTCCTTTATTTATTAAATTAGAGGGAGACACCACGCGCCAGACGATCCTATTAAAGCGTTTAACAAACTTTTTTTTTTGATAGAAAAAAAACGTGCCATCTGACGACAGATCCAGAAAACGACTGCAATCAACGAACACCTGAGCATCAGATAATAAATGCTAGGCAGTTGTGTTGAATTTGAATTGTGCCCAATGACTTGCATTTTGGAAAGCAAACGAGGAGCCAGTAACAAAAAAAAATATATATAAAAAATTATAATAAAAAGGTAATATTATTAATAATAATAAAAACCTGTATTCGTGGGGGCCAGTTTTCTTTTTGGGGGGGGCAGAATCACGTTCAGAGGGAGCCCAAAATAAAACACCTCACATTTCTTGAATTCCTGTACATTATCTTTCTGCAGTCCAGCTCAGGTCGTGGGTGTCACCGGTGGTCAGCAATGGTGTCTCCTCGATGACTGACAATTTCTGTATGGCCTCTTGTTGCATTTCAATCAACTTTATTTAAGCATTTTTCCCCCTCGGTTAACGGCCTTTATTCCCCCTCCTTCTGTAATCTTGTTGCCCACTCAAGGTGGACTAACTGAGCACACCTGCCTCGCTGTCAGCAGCCTTACAGCAAACAGCCTTAACCACCAACAGCACACACAGAGAACTTTTGAACAGCCTCACTGACTTGAGCAGAACTCAAACCGTCTCACACGAGCAGACAGTTGGCAGCAGACAGTGGAGAAATGGCACACGCCAAGAACTCACCTTGCACTTTGTGGTCTGCAGTGAAATGCCAGAGCCAGAGGAGCAGGAGGAGCAGGATCCGGAGCTGAAGGACTGGTAGCATCCTTAGCATGGTCAAGGCAAAGTGGAATAGGATATGGAGCAGCAGCAGCAGCAGCAGCAGCAGCAGCAACAGCAGCGCAAAAGTAATCTGCTTAAAGGAGGCAGTGCTGAATGAATGCTTGACTGTGTGAGTGTGCCACCTCTTTTTAAGTGTATAAGGGGGTCTAAGGGCCGACTGTCTGTAGTGGGCGGGCTTTTCACTCTGTGGGGGTGGGGAGAAGGGAGGAGTTTGGCTTTCTTTTCTTTTTTTTTTTTAAGTTTTTTTTCTTCCTTCTTCTTCAGTCCTAATCAGGTGACATCTACTTGCAACTTTCTCCAGTCACACTGAAGTGTACTTGATGGCTGTTGGACTGGGATCATCCATTGGGATCAAAAGTTGAGCAAAATAAAGAAGTGCTCACATGAGGCTGGTGGTGATGTGGGCTGGACTTCTGTCAGCTCGGAGGATGGAGATCCGTTTCTCTGCTCACTTAAGGTTTTGTGTCTCACGAGCAGAAGAAAGACAGAAAAGTAGGCTACGTTAGTGTTGAGCTGAGCTTTAAGTCTAGGCGGCCAGCTGGATGCAAAAGCCTCTACAGGACAGCAACACATTTTTAACAATCAGATCACTTGTCGTGAGCCAGGCTTGGACGACCTAGTTTCCTATTTGGTAATAAGGTTTCAATGTTAGCCCCGGGGTGGCGGTTTGGAAACGTAGTAAAAGTGGACTAAAGCACCAGGAGAAGTAACAGGAATAGAAAATGGGAAATTAAAAATGAATAAATAAATAAATAAAATTATTTAAAAATAAAAGCAATAATAATAATAATAATAATACAATTGATGTTGCTAATCGATATGTTGGCAGACTGAAACTCCATAACACGGTTTGCTGTATCAGTCTACAGTGATTAAAACCTCGTTCATCAGTCAACTTGTTTGGTAGCGACTGATCTGTTATTTTCCGACAACAGTCTAATCCGCCTTTAAGGGCAGAGAGAGGATGCACTCAAGGAGACAATATACCTTAAAACAAAGACGAGCTAATATTAGAAGCAACAGTTGTTGAGGTTTCATTCACGGCTCAGATACTGAAATGAATCCTGTTCAATTTCCGGACGGCCGTCGTGCAAAGCCCTCAGCTTTACTGGCCGTGTTTCTGTGGGGCGAAACACTGCCACCCTGCGGAGGACTCTGGAACTGCAATAGCCTTTCACACAGAGGTACAACAGCGACCTCTACTGTTCGCCTCAAGCAGAAGGCCAAACGAACGAAAAAAAGATTTATTTTTCGTGTTTAATACGACAGGGCAGTTACATCGTCACCATGTTAATCCTGTTATAACGTGTAGTGATCAGTAACCGATATCGCATCAGTTGTCGAGGTTGTCCCAATTAGAGAACGCAAAAAATAATAAATATCAATCAATTGATGAATAAATAAAGATCTCCGACCTCTTCCCATTTGTTTCTATGTTCTTTCTTTCTGGATTTGAATCAAATTGCTGGTCATTTTTTTTAGCCTTTCTATGCTACATTAGTCCATTTAATCTCACTGGTCATCGCAACTGTAATCAAAATGTAGTTTTGTGGTTGTAAAGCTCAAACGTTGAGTTGTTAATGTGTTTTCTGCTGACTGGTAAATTATTAAAGTGTATTATAGTAACATTATAGTATAGTTATATTAAAGTTAAATATAGTTATATAATAGTAATTTGTATTTTTTATTTCATATGAAATATGGGTGGTGTAAATGTTCAAATGACCAGAGCCATTAACTTCAAGCATGCATCTGAGAAAGGTGATGTCTGCATTAAAGCTCTGCAAAACAAAGCAAGGAAAACACGATATATCTGCAGCTACCATTTTTAGCACATAAAGTGTCTATTATTGATATTTTAATAACATACTACCACGTTTATATTATTGTCATGAACATGTGACTCATATTTACTGTTGATAATCCAATCAATCAAAAGTTTTGGACACAATAGAATATGATGACCCGATACAGACTACATACAACATTTCTGTCATTATATCAGTATAATGATATGATCTTTTTTTTTTTACTTTTTTATTTATCTCCATATTTATCTAATCAATTCAATGATTTTTATTTCTTTTCTGTTGTGTAATCAGATTTAAATGATTAATTGATGCAGCATTTGACTCTGTAGTTTTTTTTTTGTCTGAAAAGCCATACACAGTTTGTGTCATTGGGCTGTCCAAAGTGTTCATGTACCTATGCAGCTGGGAAAAATGAGATCATGTGTGTTAATAAGCCTTAAATAAAGATGAGAAAAAGGTTAAAAAATCTGAAAATCGAAAAAAGATAGAAAGATAGAAAGAAAAAATATATACAATGCAAAAGGGCCCTCTGTAACACATTTACATTGGTAATGAAAATGGGCTAAACTTTATTTGTGCCCCAAATTCAATCTACTGAACCCATGAGTTTCTAAAAAGCTGGGACTGGTGAAGACATTAAACATGGGAACATAATGACAATCAGCAAACTATAGCTGTTTTACTCCACCTCTCAACAAAAGTGCAATTTCTCTCTGTCTCTTGTCAGGCCTATTCCTGGAAATCTCTCACTTTGCATTAAACAGGCTGTAGTCCATCGTGAACGCAAGGGAATTATAAAAAAAACAAACCAAAACTTCTTATTTCTATCCTATATTATATCTATATTCATTCTGCGTTGTACAGTCTTCCCCACCAGTATTTTTACAACACTTTTTCATTGTATAGTCACCAACACTAGTCCTAGAGATCTGTCTTCCAGCAGAGCCTAGTTTTAACCACAATCATCCAGCTAATTACCTTCTTCAGAAGTCCTTGAGTGGATGGATCAGAAGCATTAGTGTTCTAATGCTCTTTAGGTTCTCTAAATCTGTATAGTTATACCAAGATCTGAAATATTTAAATATTTAAATAGGCCTAAAATGTATAGTATATTATAGTATAGTATATTATAGTATAGTACTCCTAGTGCACAAGATTGCTGTTCTAAGATTGAAATACACACTTCAGAACTTTGTGTTTATACTTTAAGTTAAAGCATTTTGACTGATTATTTTCCACCAGAAAAGAGCCTAGACTATTTGTGTCAGGCAAATAATGGGTTTTGCAATGGTGACATCTAGTGATCCATTTGTAGTGTTACATTTTCCCCAAGGTGATTTAATAATGTGATCTACTGCATGATAGCTCTCCTCATCTTCAGTCCTCTCATACACCTGATTCTGCTCCTGTAGTCTTTGAACATTTGCTACCACTGATACCACTGAGTCTTCAGTCCTTAAACACCCCAAAATCCCAGGCTTATTACATTCTTAGGCTTATTATTCAGTAACTACAGGGACTTCACTGCAAACTGGCTGAGCTATTTATAGGTCATAGAAGTGTGTAATAAAACTTTGGGCCTGTCGTTGGGCCCTGGCCATTTAAGGCGTTAAAACAAAGCTTCTCCAATGCCTCTGACTATTATTCCATTTGATTCAAAGCGCTATTCCTGTTTTCTGTCTGCACATGTGTGAATAATTACAACAATCCAGCTGATATGTTTTCTCATCAGATCATAATGGCTTTACAGAAGCTTAATTTGTTTGTAGCAATGATGGTTTTCCACCCTAGTGCTTTACCAAACCAGGACATTCCATCCATTTCGGTGTAACTCTTTAGTGTGGCCTTAAGAGAAAGGCCATGTCATTTGGTTTTACGAATGTTGCAAAAATATTTTATCAAAGATTGGCGTGACAAGCCACCCCTGACTTGAGGCTAACGCAGAATGAAATGCATTCCCAAAGTTCATAACGCAACACAGAATTCCAAGCAATATGTTGCAGCACACTGAAGCTTCAGTCTGAGTGTATAGAAGGTTTATGGCCTGTTAATTTACTTTTCAAAGTATTTGTTTAAAGTAATAAAAGATAGGCGAAGGAATGAGAAACAGGTAGAAAAAGCAGGGCCAAAGAGCAGGGCAAAAAATGTTAATATTAAAGGTGGGAGATGAGCTATGAAAAACAGAAACTTGAACATGACCCAACCTCAACAAATAGCCTGATAAATATTTGAGAAATGATGTCTAAACCCAGTTGGACCTCACGCTAATATTTCATCATCATCATCAAGACTTCACTTTTATTTATTTATTTTCAAGCCATAGTTGGGAGGGAGGTGTGATGTTCAATTCGTATTTGAGGTTCATTGATTATTATAGTATGTAGTATGTCTTGTCATAAAAGTTCGCCATTAAGAGGCAGACTAGCTTAACTTGATAAAACAGACCTGGCTATGGTTCAGAAACATCAGAACCCTAATAGATTTTCTAGCCATTCTAGATTTTCAATATCAAAAAAAAAAAGCCTAAATGAGCGACAAAACGGAGTAAACGTCTACATCAGAGGTCTCCAACCCTTGTCCTGGAGATCCACCTTCCTGCAAAGCTAAATTAGCTAAAACTAATCTAACTTCCTGCAGGTGGTTACTGGTCTAGATTGACACAAAATCATGCTGTATTCAAACTGTGCAAGTATTGTATTAATACTCTTATTTCAAAAGCGTTACAAACTGAAAAAATTGTCCAATCAGGATTTGTTTCTGCGGTATCTGGGTCGATACAGCCAAAGATAGCTCTCTCATTGGACGTTAGATTAACTACCAACATAATTAGTGACACTGGACTCAACCAATCACATTTTGATTTACAATGGCTGGGCCCAGTTCTGTTTAAAAATAACTGTAGACAGTCTCTCTTAATTAAGAGTCATCGCGCTACCTCTGGGTTTAGACTGTTCACTTACTGGGAGTAGGAGCTCACAGCCTCCTTCAGGATAACTGGGGCTCATTTTCCAATTTGGCATCTCCGATTTCCCATCTAAAAGCATTCATACAACTTAAGCTGTTCCTAGGAAAAATGGATGCTCACATAAGCTCCCGCTGGTCTGGCTGCTGTCTGCGTATCGATGTTTGGTTAGTGCTTGGTGTTTTTAAAACACGGTTGTAGGCTATTACAATTCACCGTTAATGTAGTGTCGAAATATGACACGAAAGCGTGCAGTTTGGTCAATAATCTTGCACAGAAGGGCCCAGCCTTACAATTATTCACATATCCTCGTGTGTTTATCGACACAGATATCATTTCATACACAA